CGGTGTAAAAATAGCTCAAATCAACAACACCAAGAAGCCACCCCAATTTGATGGCTCAAACTATCCCTATTGGAAGGCTAAGATGATAACTTATATCAAGTCAATCAATAGGAAGGTTTGGAAGGTGGTAGAGACCAAGATTGAGATTGATGATGAAGAGCCTCCCATTGTCGTCGAAGAAATGCTACTCCAAAATAATGGCATTGCTCTTAGTGCCATCCATGATGCTTTGGATGAGAGAACATTTGAGCAAATCAAGAATATTGAGAGAGCTCATGAGGCATGGAAGAAATTGGAGGAATCATTTGAGGGCACTCAAGCCGTGAAGGGTGCAAAGGCATACATTCTCAAAGAGAAGTTTGCAAGCTTCAAGATGAAGGAGAATGAGAGTGTGCCAGAGATGTTTCATAGGCTTCAAGTGCTTGTCAATGATTTCAAAGCACTTGGAGAAGAGGTGAAGGACAAGGACTTCTTCCACAAGTTCTTGAGATGTTTACCTTCAAGATTTGGCACATTGGTCACTATTCTATTGAGGAGTGGTTTGGACACCATGACACAAAACCAAGTGTTGGGTGATATAATGACTGATGATACATATAGAGATGATGATGAGAAGGAAGAAAAGAAGGAGAAGAAAGATGAGAAGAAGGATGAGAAGAATAAGAGCGTGGCATTCAAGGCCACATCATCCAAGGGCAAGGCAAAGCAAGATACATCAAGTGAAGATGATGGCTCATTGGATGATGATGATGATGATGAGAAGATGGCTCTCTTTGTCAAGAGATTTGGCAAGTTCATGATGAAGAAAGGCTACCGTGCTAGAAGGAAGAAATCTTCATCCAAGAACAAGAAAGAGTCAAGAAGGTTCCCCCACAACGAATCTAACCAACTGAGAGTTCGCGGTTTTGTCTTAAATTGCCATGTCAAATTCAGAGCACAGTCATTTACAAGCATCTCTTGTATGAGAGAGAGAGAGAGAGATGATTGTAAAAAGGTGGAAATAAATTTGTACAATCGATTCCATATTATGAAGCACAGATGCTACTATTTGCATTGTTGGTTTGCAACAAGAACCAAAATGTGAAAATAGCTGTTCCACAATCGGTTCTTCTGCCAAACTGACTACATCCACGGCATGCATCCGTTGGCTTAGGATTAATATGTGCATGGGCGGTACATCCGTGCACCAATATTTTTGACAAAAGAATCACATAGAATTAAAAGTTCTATGTGACCCGTTTGTAAGAGCGTGCCATATTTTAGAAAAATAAAATATTTTTAGTTCCGATATCTCTTGCAATGTTTTCTATAATACTTTCATGCTACAATCTTGTTCGTTCGATAGTTACATTACCTACAGACCCGTCGATTGTCTTTTCTCGACATGTTGCTTCATCCTAACCAACATGAATACAAGATTGTCAAAATCCACAAGTCCACAACTAACATAAATATGCATGTGTATTATATTAAGTCCACAACTGACATAAATACAAGTTGGTGATCTCATCATTTTTGTCTACTTGTTACTTGTTATTCTGTCATCTTAAGAGAAAACCCCACTCGTTGCTTTGCTCCACTGACTAAAATTTGTGGTCCTCCCTTCTGCTTGCAGCCTTAAATTTTTTCGAAACTTTAGTTGGATGATTACATATATTAATTGCTTAGAGCTTTGTTAAATTAGGAGCTCTGAAATTTTCGGTACTACAGAACCAACTTATACAGTTGGTTTAGAAAAAGAACATAATCTGTTTTTTTATTCCTAAGAGCACCTCTGAAGAACTAAGTGAAAGGTCCTAATATGGCTAGAGGGGGATGAATAGCCTATTTAAAAATCTACAAACCAACTAGAGCAATTTGATTAGTGTGACAAATAGCGAAATGTAAACTTGCTCTAGCTCTACAAGGGTTGCAAACCACCTATCCAACAATTCTAGTTACTATGATCACTAGACATACAATTTGCTAAGTCGCTACTCACTAAGAGCTCTCACACTTGCTACACTAAAGAGCTCCACTAGATGAACTTAAACTACAAAGTAAGCTCTCAATTCTAACTACACTAAAGAGCTTGCTGCAACTAGTTTGCGAGAATGTAAATGAGTGAGTAGGGTGATTATACTGCCACGTAAAGGAGTGAACCAATCACAAGATGAATACCAATTCAATCATCGGGAGAACACCAAAGGACAAGAGACAACCAATTTTTCTCCCGAGGTTCACGTGCTTGCCGGCACGCTAATCCCCGTTGTGTCGACCAACACTTGGTCGTTCAGCGGCTAAGAGGTGTTGCACGAACCTCGTCCACACAATTGGACACCACAAGAACCTACTCACAAGTGAGGTAACTCAATGACACGAGCAATCCACTAGAGTTACCTTTCGGCGCTCCGCCGGGGAAGGCACAAGACCCCTCACAATCACCGGGAGATGGCCACGAACAATCACCAACTCGTGCCAATCCTCCTCCGCTGCTCCAAGCCGTCTAGGTGGCGGCAACCACCAAGAGTAACAAGCGAATCCGGCAGTGAAACACGAACAGCAAGTGCCTCTAGATGCAATCACTCAAGCAATGCACTTGGATTTTCTTTCAATCTCACAAAGATGATGAATCAATGATGGAGATGAGTGGGAGGGCTTTGGCTAAGCTCACAAGGTTGCTATGTCAATGCAAATGGCCAAGAGGGTGAGCTAGAGCCGGCCACATGCCTTTAAATAGAGCCCCCAACGAAATAGAGTCATTAGGCTATCACTGCAGCCCAACTCAGGGCGATCGGACGCGCCGGTCAGGTTGACCAGACGCTGGACCCCTACGTCCGGTCATCTGATGATTGCCACGTGTCATCAGCTTCAAATGCTGAGCGCCCAATCTTAACGGCTAGTCTGCTTCGCGCCATAGTTTTCACGTCCGGTCACGCCCGACCGGACTCGCCCAGCGTGCGGTCACTCACCCTCTTCTCTGTGCGCCGTCACATCAGCAGGACCGGACGCTGAATAGTGTTCAGTCAGAGTCCGGTCACCTACGTCCGGTCTCAGGCCAAGAGTACCACCTTCTTTTATAATTGACCGGACGCTGGAACCCCGAGTCCGATCACTTCGAACTCAGCGTTCGGTCACTGTTTGACAGTGAAAAACACCTCCTTCGATTCACCAACTTCTCCACCCTTGCTCAAATGTGCCAACCACTAAGTGTATCACCTTATGCACGTGTGTTAGCATTTTTCACAAATATTTTCAAGGGTGTTAGCTTTCCACTAGATCCTAAATGCATATGCAATGAGTTAGAGCATCTAGTGGCACTTTGATAACCGTATTTCGATACGAGTTCACCCCTCTTAATAGTACGGCTATCGATCCTAAATATGATCACACTCGCTAAGTGTCTCGATCACTAAACCGAAAAGCTCCTATAAATTTCACCTTTGCCTTGAGTTTTTTGTTTTTCTCTTTCTTCTTTTCCAAGTCCAAGCACTTGATCATTACCATGGCATCACCATCATCATGTCATGATCTTCATTTGCTTCACCACTTGGAATGTGCCACCTATCTCATAATCACTTTGATAAACTAGGTTAGCACTTAGAGTTTCATCAATTCACCAAAACTAAACTAGAGCTTTCACTAAGTTAGACCAATAAATTTCAAGATTGACGAAGTCAAACCAACTTGTGTAGTCAGTTTAGAAATAGAACACAGTCGGTCGGTTTTGTCTTAAATTTTTTTAACCCTTATGAGCACCTCTCTAAAGAACTGAGTTAGACCGACAAAATCTCGAGATTGATAATGTTACCATAGACGTGCACACATCGCCTATTATTCAAAGAATAATGCCGTTAAATCTATTTTTTACCCCTATGATGAGAACAAAGTCATCATAGGCGCGTGCATGTCTGCTACCGCTAAAAGAATAACTCTACACGACACCTACTATCGAAAGAATAGTGTCGTTAAATCTTGGAATAAATCCTGAAGAGCACCTATGTTAAGCTGAGGAGTTGAATCCAGATGGGTAGGTTCCGCCACAAGGAATCTAACCAACTTAGAGTTCGCGTTTTTGTCTTAAGTTCCCATGTCAAATTCAGAGCACAGTCATTTACAAGCATCTCTTGTATCAAAGGGAGAGAGAGAGAAATGATTGTATAAAGGTGGAAATAAATTTGTACAGTCGATTCCATATCATGAAGCACAGATGCTACTATTTGCATTGTTGGTTTGCAACAAGAACCAAATGTGAAAATAGCCGTTCCACAATCGGTTCTTCTGCCAAACTGACTACATCCACGGCATGCATCCATTGGCTTAGGATTAATATGTGCATGGGCGCGGTACATCCGTGCACCAATAATTTTGACAAAAGATTCACATTTGGTATGTACACTATATTTATATATTCTAGTTGGGCCCAACTGTGTTTATATGAGCCACCGTGTTGGGCCGGCCTGCTGGCTGCTGGCCCAGACAGACGCACGCAACACCCACGTGCACACCGAGCTATCCTTGTCGTCTGGCGCCGTCGACGGAGGAAAGCTTCTAGCAAACGCCACGCCTCACGGCCGAAATGGGAGACACGTCCAGATATTCCTCACGGCCGAAATGGGAGACACGTCCAGATATTCTTCGGCATCTTCTGGTGAGTGGTGACCAATTGGTGCAGCTTAGATGAGACGATGCCCGTGTTGACAGATTTGGTTAACACGCCACATCAGATACATACATTCCTTTGCCATACATACATTCCTTTGCTAGTTTTCTATCCAATAAGCTTCATCAAATTCAAGAGAGATTACACAACGCAAAGTGCTTCCGGGTTGCTTGCAGGGAATGCGAACAGCAACGTTATTACGGATACCTAATTCTAGTTGTGCTGTCATAGATGTGGTAGAGAGAGAGAGCTACATCCTGAAAGTACATAGCTTACGAGGGCCCAGGTGTGCAGATCGTGAGATCGAGCTCAATCTTGACTTCTTGAGGTGTGGCGCAGTTCGTTGATTATTGAGACTTTACAGAGCATCTCGAGCAGCAATCCTGCATACAATTGCGTCCGGCAACGTAGATATTGATAGTTCTTGGGGAGGTATTTTGTAATGCTGCCAATAGATAAAAGACCAATAAACGATCTTCAGCCAGAATGGATAAATAGTTATAAGAACCATACAGTACATAACTAGCATCAAGTTCGATGGCAAACCTTCAAGATCTGTGGTTGGTTTGCTCTTCTTTCCAGTTCTGTTAGATCAATCTCAGTGCCACTGATGAGCTTCTCCACTGCCTTCATCTGCCAAGTTGCGATTTTCACATCAGTATTTCTTTCATGAATGCATAAGAAAAAGGAATTGGCACATGGACTTGGTCCCTTCGAGGGAGAAATCAGCCAAAAGGCTGGATGTTTGGCAAGGAAGTTCCTTGTCGATTGCTGGTACATCCATCCTCATTAAATTCTACACTGAATAACTCCCCCATATAGCATATTTCTGTGTATTCGCTTCCCATTAACTAATGATTTGGATAAGCAAAGGAGAGAACCTGCTTTTGGCAAGGACTTACTTCCAACAAAAAAAAAGAAAGGTGGGTCAAGATTTACAAAAGCAAAAAGAAAGGTGGAAATAAAACTGTGGGATCTGTTAAGCCAAGGAGAAATGATTCCCCCATTTGGTCTGGTTTATTAAAAATCAAACATATTTACCCAAAAGGGGAGGAAAACGAAATTAACAGTGGAGGCTATGTTTTGGTCCGACGTTTGGTGAGTGAGTCCCCTCACTGTGCTCAGTATCCTGTCATCTTTAAGTCAAACATGTAAGGTGCCTATGGCTTAGTGGGATGACCAAGTTTTGTGGCGATGAACTAAATCAGGTCTTTTCCTGTCAAATCTACTTATGAACATCTGAATAGTTCTGACACAGGGAAATCATTTTTAAACATCTGGAAAGCAAAAATTACTAATAAAGTCAAGATTTTCTTGTGGTTGATAGAGAAATCAGCTGTCCTTACAAAAGATAATATGATCAAGGGGGAGTGGTAAGGTTGCCCTACTTGTAAAATCAGTGATCAAGATAAACGAAAAATCATTTCTTATTTGACTATCCTGTTAGCAGAGTTTTATGGAGCGTAGTATCTTCCTGTTTGGGTGCCAGTGCCAATAACAGGCCTCCAAGTTTCGATCAATACTAGTCCTGGATAAGCTGTGTGTTGCCTGATGGTAAGGAAATTCACACATTGGGTGTCTTAACTATCTGCTGGGCTGTGGAAAGCAACAAATAGAGCCTGTTCAGATAAAGGTTGATCAAACACCCATGTGAGACTCTTTGTCTTGTTTGCTCTTATCTGGTATACTGGGCAGGGTTTACACAAGAATGGCTTCAAGGAGAAAACGTGCTAGAGGGAGCCGGGATTCTGCTACGAGTGGCCTTCCAGGCCAAGATGATTCAACAGGCGCAACCCCAGCTGCTACAAATAACCGGTGATGAGGCAGGAGTTGAACAAGAGACGACTGGAGAAACCAATGGCACCAGTGAGTAGTTGAAGCTTGTTTAGTTCTTCTGGGTTTCAAGTCAGCCGGCGGGTGTCTGCTGAACTTGTTAGGTGGTTTTGATGCTTGTTGGAAACTGTGTCTAATAGGGCTAGCTCTAGTTTCCTGACGCAGGTTTAGCTAGATCTTAATGGCTACCTACCGCTCTAACCTAGTTCTATTTTTTAGCGTGCTTCTGCAATACCTGAACTGGTTCTGTTCATGAAATGAAAAATGGGGGGACCTGGTTCAAGAAAAAAAATGTGTGTTATGAAGACCTCTGTTATGAACCGTAAGCACACAAATTTTAAACTGTTCCCTTTTTGTTTAGTTATTTACATTTTGAAGAATATAGGGAGAACCATGGTTTTAAAGGCGACAAGGAGTAACTAGGCCCCAAGGAAAGTTGTCACCAGGACACCTAGCCGACATCTTTGAAACAGAGGGGGGGAACTCATTTGAACTATTATGGATGTAAAAAGTGTCATTGTTTGCAACTATGGTAACAGTTGGCAATTAATAAAACAAAGCTCGCATATAGAAGCTCGAAGTTGGTTGAAAATTTTCAGATGAATACCATAAACGCCCAATTTAAGGCACAATAAATAGGGTGTGAAGTAGTAGCACCAGGTTTCTGGAGCAAGAAATTAAGAATGGTAGAAACACTTCCTGTTTTACTTTTCATAGTAAGGAAGTAAGCAGCAGCAGATGAGGTGTAATTTGTAACTCGTTTAAGCAAGGTGATTAACATATTGCAAATCCATGTAAATTTGATTTGGTGTATAGCCTGATCTCTGGATCCATTAACACTTCAACTATCGTCCAATATCAGTCAGATCAAGATCACAAATTTATGAACCAAACACACAGTCAGTGACAATTGGTACAGGGTTAGTATTTACTAACGGAAAATCAGTATCGCCTATGGGTTCTAAATTGCAGATTATTAGAATAGCATGCAATTCATGGATTCAGACAGTAACTCAGTGAAACTATCATCATAAATCATACCTCCTCGTCAGAAGCATCAAAACAAGCAGCAAGGATGTAAGTTGTGTCATCAGAAATCCCACATCGCTTCAGAGACTCCGTTATCTGAAACCAATGATCACAGACAAACCATCAAACGCTGCATTGGACCAACCTCATAATAATGCAAAAGTATCAAGAGCAGTTAGATCAATCACATGTTTGGACCCCGAGTAGTTGTAGACGAGCTCAGAGTGCAGAGTCCTTGTGGTCAGTGATTCCCTCGTCTTCGACAACAGCGCCTTAAGGGCTGCCGCAAGGACAGGGAACACATCCGGCACCTGAAATCCACGAGCATGAATAACGAGCCTCAAAAACCATGAAATCCACACAATTAGGAAACTACCAGTGCAGCATATCCAAAAATGAAAATGGCTACGCACCAATGACGCATTGAGGAAAGCGACCTCCGGCTCCAGCTTCCCTGACTGCATCAAGTCCAGGAGCTCCCTGAGAACATCAAAACCAGAATTTCAGAGAGTTCGGCCGTGCGCATTTCATCGATGGAAACCAGACCTGGGCTAGTGGCCACAGCGGCCCAAGCGGCGATGTTAGAAGAGGAGAGGATGCATAAGCAGGTCCGTACCGGCTGTTGGAGACGTCAGAGAAGAGGGCGAGGGAGATGCTGCTGCCCCTGGACAGCGGGAAGGTCTTCATGCCGCTTGCAGCGATGGCGGCGGTAGTGGCGACGGCAAGTCGAACGGCAGAAGCAACCCTATTCCTCTCTCGTCGTGTGCGGCAGCGGCTAATGGCTAATTGCCAAAAATACCCCTACCTGCCAAAGGCTTTACGATTAGTGCAGCGTGAAATCTGCACCGCAGAAAATAATTTCTGTTTTCCCTCCGATGAGGCGGAGGAGAATCCGAGAATGGGATAAGGCCACACGCCGCGCGCGCTCTCCTCTCCGCCACTTTCACCACCGCCTCTGCCCGCCATGAGTTCCTTGCCGCCGTCGCAGGCGGCCGCCGCGGCGTACGGGCGCTTACACAGCCTCCTGCTTGCTTCTACCACCGTGCCGGCGAGGAGTGGGTGCGTGGGGCGCGCACGCAGACTCACGCTCGCGCTCCGCTGCATCCCGATTGCCGGGCACAGGTCCGCTGCTTTTCTTGGTTTTGTGTGTGCCAACTGCCAAGGGAACATTCAACTGAGCAAGCTAATCTAATTGGTTTGTTTCCAATCCTTGTATGAAGGCTGAGCAGTCGAAAGGTTGCGTGCCAAGCGATGACTGAGACCGAGTCAGAGGGCGACGGCGACAAGGAGGTACATAGCGCAATGTATCGCATTTTGAAGTGCCAATTATCACATTTTCCGGCAACCAAATTATTTGCTATGGTTGAAGCACATTAAGGCCCAGATTTGCTCATTTTCATCCACCAATGACCCATTTAGTTTTTCTATATAGAAACGCACCTCTTAATAAAATCTAGAATTGAAGACGAAGCCAGAATCTTGCAGGAATTCAGGGATTAAATAACTGACCTTTCTTTCCAGGAGAAAGAAGAGTTTGGAGATGATGCTTCATCACCTTCGGTTGATAGTGTTGCAGAAGCAAATGGACCTGCAGAAAGTGACTCCAGTATAGACAATGTACACTTCTTACTTACAGTTTGTCAAATCAAGCCTGCATTACATTAAATATTATGCAAAAGTATGCTTCCCTTTGTGTTGGGCTTGACTTGCCCTGTACTTAAAGCAGCACTTCCATTCTACCTGCTAGTCCTTGCTGTATGAATGTGTAACTGAATTATATATTTAGCTTTCCCATGACTCGCCAGAAGAAAGATGAAACCACGAATGCAGAACTACTGAGCTCCAGCGACACAGTTCAGAACATGGATGGAGATGCTACTTCTACCAATGATGTACAGGTATGCTTTTAATTTATGCCCAGCAACTGATATCTTACAAGACTTGAGAATACAATTGTGTCATTTCTAATATTTTTTAAAACATAGGAAAATGTGGAAGTTGATGAAGTTGCTAGCGGATCTCCATTGCCAGGAATGAAGGTAATTGTTTAGTCATCGTATATGTTCCTTAGTTGAGTGGTAGTTGACACTGAAAGAAGGATCCTGCTTTTTCGTCATTAGCTCAATGTTAGAGTCTATTGTAAATAGAATCTTTTTTCTGCTTCACATATCTGAACTCTGCATTGTGAAGAGATGATGATATAGTTATTTTTATAATATAAATGATCTGCAGCAACAGCTTGATGATTCTGTCAGGATCCCCAAGGCTACAATAGACATTCTAAAGGATCAAGTTTTTGGATTTGACACATTTTTCGTGACAAGTCAGGAGCCTTACGAGGTAAATATCTTAGATGTCATGGTTTAACTTCTTCTGTATAAATCAGATTTTTACCTTACTAACTGTGTTTATACAAGATACATTCATACTCAAATACTCAATTGATGCATGCTACTACCAGCAAGTATGTTGCGTTCAAAAAAACCAGCAAGTATGCTCTTGGTCTGACTAAGCCAAGTGGCAAGTGCTATCACAGAATATTGCTTAACTTTAAAACTAATCACAGTATGATTTATACTCTAATTTGACATTTTTATCATGTAAAATAAAGTCTCAAGTATAATGGCCTGGAATGACTAAGTTCTATTTACCAACTTACTTTGTCTGAATAAGGGTGGAGTATTATTCAAGGGAAATCTTCGTGGTAAACCAGCCAAAAGTTATGAGAAGATCACAAATCGACTACAGGTAATAACTAATATAAGATGATTTGCAAAACTGGCGCTCAGATGTCTATGATCGTAGAAATGTGTTAGTGTCTCATCTGTGCTCAACTCCTGGTTACCAACAGAACAAATTTGGTGATGAATATAAGCTTTTTCTTCTCATCAACCCAGAGGATGAGAAGCCAGTTGCTGTGGTTATACCCAAGCAGACATTACAGCCTGAAACTACAGGTGACAAAATTTTCTTGGTACCTTCAGTGGCGTTGGTAGCATAGTTGTAAATTCCATTCCGGTACCAACCGGAATGCCTCGTACCGGCACCCAGACCGGTCTAGAAGAGCCGCAATCTCGTACCGGGTCAAATACCGGTCAATAACGGTCAAATACCGGTCAAATACCGGCCAATACCGGTCCATACCGGGGGTGGCTGCATGTATTTTATTTTTCCATGTATGAACTTTGGAGTTTGAACTTTGAAATAAGGTCTTATGAACTTGCTGAATGATATGTTAGTTTGGTAAAATGGTAATTTCGCCATAGTTAAGTCGGTATATATATTTATATGCACATTTATGTATAAGTATATTCACATATTATTATTATTATAAAGTACGGAAAGGTACGCCGGTATGGGCCGGTACCGGAATGTTCCATTCCAATAGCCAAAACGAGACGGCTTCCGGAATGGAATTTACAAGTTAGGTTGGTAGCGCTCAGAGTGGTCCAATATTTTGCTTAATTGTTAGGCATATATGATTTTATTAGTATATTTATTCAGTGCAAAGGTTGCTGAGTGTGTTCATAAATTAAATTTCAGCGCTCCCAGAATGGTTTGCTGCTGCTTCATTTGGATTAGTTACCATCTTCACTCTGCTACTTCGAAATGTACCTGTTCTACAGGACAACTTGCTGTACGAGGTTTCTCTTTCATTTATTCACCAGTCCGTTTTGTTTTAGATTGTTTCCTTTTTCATGTTTCTCTATCTTGATGTCATGTTTGAATTGCTATATATGCTTATGCTTTTCTGTTAGAACCTTGCTCAAGGTTGAACTTTGAAATCTTGGTACCAGATGATGTATGCCCTCAAGTGCTTGAGAATCTTGATACATTAGTAAATAGATGCTAAAGCTTGTGTATTTACTGAAGACGATGTTCATGTTTCTGTTTCGCTATTTTTTTTATTCTGATTCATGTGAATAATTGCATTCTTTTACTGCCATGTATTTACTTCCGTATTCATCAATCATTACAAGTTTGCTCTTTTTGAAGAAAAATATATACTTTCTCAAGTATCTTGTATATAAGAAGCCACAGTTGTCTACTCCATCTACTTCTAAGCCTTACTCATCACAGGTCAACATTTGACAACCTTGAGTTGTTGAAAGATGGACTATCTGGTGCCCTAGTGACTGGCCTTATAATAGGGGTCCATGAAATTGGACATATCCTTGCTGCCAGGGAAAGTGGAATCAAGCTTGGCGTGCCATATTTTGTTCCTAGCTGGCAGGTAAAGACTTTGTATAAAAAATTAGTAAATTAAAATTCTGAAATTATTTGTATCTTTGCAGTGCATGTTTATGGAAATTATTTGAAATAAATAACAAGAGCTTTGTTAAAGATTTTGTTTAGATGTGCTGTAGAGACATTAATAAAAAAAAGTAATGTTTAATTTGGATGTGTACTTTCTGTGTAGATACTCAATTAACATGAAAGGCCTTCTAAAATATGGGTTATGGTTGTAGACCAGAGTATTGGCATGAAATGACATCATTTTTTTTTTCTTATAGATTTATCTAGCTCAGTACATTCACTTTACATAATGAGTCTTGCAATGTTCAATTTATTGTAGATAGGATCTTTTGGTGCAATTACCAGAATTGTCAATATTGTCCGCAACCGTGAGGACCTACTGAAGCTAGCAGCTGCTGGACCATTGGCCGGATTTTCCTTCGGATTTGTTCTTTTACTGCTGGGCTTCATCTTACCTCCAAGTGATGGCCTTGGCCTTGTGATAGATCCAACTGTCTTCCATGAATCATTCCTTGTCGGTGGTCTCGGTAGGCATTCGTTCATAATTCAAAAACTCGTAGCTGCACAGGGAATTTTTTTCTCTGGTGTTCATTAGTACTCTGCCTGCAGTTGAGTAGTTTTGCAAGAATGTAGTATTCAGTTATGCAAGAAACAGCTTTTTGGTGGACTGTGAATACAAAATTAAGGCATCAATATTTCCTTGATACAGCAAAGCTTCTTCTTGGAGATGTTCTAAAAGAAGGAACACAGTTATCCATAAACCCACTTGTTTTATGGGCCTGGGCTGGTCTCCTGATCAATGCTATCAATAGCATACCAGCTGGAGAGCTTGATGGTGGCCGCATAGCATTGGCCATGTGGGGAAGAAAGGTAATTTGTTGCTATGATAAGTTTTCCTCCTTGCTTGTAGACATTAGAGTTGTAGCTGAGAAGGGCTTACATCTGAGCTCAGAATTGGCACTTCTGATTAATCCAAACTTGGAATCTTGCCAGATATCGTCTCGGGTCAGCAGCCTTACCATTGGGTTGCTTGGGATCGCAGCTCTCTTCAACGATGTTGCCTTCTACTGGGTGGTGCTGATCTTCTTCCTGCAGAGGGGTCCGATTGCTCCTCTCTCTGAGGAAATCACAGACCCTGAGAACAACTACATTGGCATCGGTGTTGCCATTTTGCTATTTGGGCTTCTGGTCTGCCTGCCTTACCCATTCCCATTTGACCCGTCGCAATTAACTGATATCGATTTCAACTTTTGAGAGAAGGAAAGGAAAAAAAACAGTTACAACTCACCGGCTTCTCCTCCAATTGTACCAATGAGATGTATTTAACCTGTCGGCTCTGTATTCTGATCTTTGCTCCATTGCTCCTTGTAGTAGCCAATAAAAGCAGGAGCGTTTCTTGTGGCAGCTTGCCTGTTGTGTTAGTAGGTTGGTCGATCAGAGTAGAATATAGTATATGAGTATGTTATTTTGGCTGTAACTGTTATCTGCCAGTTGTGGCTTATCAACAATCGGTTCCTGGTCAGAGTATGATTCTATCAGATTCATACGCAATACTTTGAGCATTTTTGCTATATATAAGCAGACCTGGGGCGTTGTGTGGTTGTGCTAGAGCCCTTCAAACTGATACTGCTGCTCCCTTATCAAAACAATGATACTGCTGCTCCCTTATCAAAACAATGATACTGCTGCTCAATTTGTGTTAACTACACATTCTAGCGGACGTCACATTAGCGATACAGAATGTTGTGGAACACAACTGTTCAGCCAGTGGAACATGTTTCACTACCAAATCGCATGTCAGATGCTACAAAATGCTCTAGAGATTTATGACAAAGGACACTTCAATAGCATATAAAGGTCCAGGGTTGAAATTGCACATGGAGCTGCAGAGCATGACATGACATGAATGAGCTGGATAAATATTGAACATTCGAAGAACCTAAATATAACAAAATAATAATGCTCGTCAGATACTCGGGATCATCTTGGAGTTCTTCCCCTCTGCTGCTCTGAACATTCTGTAGCCAAATAGTTCCATCAGAATCATGCCTTTTATACTTTTTGCAAATAAGTGAATCACTGTCCATATGGTCCTGCTCTATCGCTGCACAACTCATCATCAATATCAATACTGTCCAGGCACATCAGGTTGTTGTTGACACTCGGCTCGGAGCTAGCATTGCTGCTTGTTGCGAGCGGTGAGTCTGAAACACTTATTGGTCTGCTCCGTGTGGATCCTGAACGTGCACTATGAACAGATGATGCAGGGATGCTTGTCATAAGAGGCCGTAAATTGTTTGGAATGCTGCGCCTTATGTCCTGTAAACAGAAAATTACACCTCAAGGTCAATCAACTGAACATAGATAATGTTAACTAAACTGAGGAGAAGCAAAACATACCATATGCCGAAGTGCCATATCCAGTGATTTTTTCGACAAAGTTCTACCAAAGCCCGAGCTATCTGGAGAATTTGAAGATTTACCAGATAGACTGTTGAGGCTGGATCTTTGATCATCATGCTTTGGAGGAACTAGCCTTCTCATGTTCACAACCCTTTCAACCATCTTATTACCCATTTGAACTGGATTCACACTGTCACCTCCATTGAGATGTGATCTTCTCACTGCTGGCATGGAGCTCCCTGAAGGCACGCTGCCACTTAAAGTCCTTCCTCTGGAGGGAGAGCAAGACTGCCGTCTTGGTCGACCCGCTGGCCCACTCTCAACAGAGCAAGATCTAGAACTAGGTGCCCCAGGTCTGCCCCTAGTGGCAGAGGTTGGTCTTTCTGGTAGCGATGTCCTTAGGTTTGGAGGCGCATCAAGAGAGAAACCAGGCATTTCAGATGGTTTCCATGGCCTTGATTTGACAGTAGGAGAGCTGCCTCTTGAAGGTGTTGGTGCTGCCGTTTTCGCTGGTGAAGAACCTTTGGGCATTGTAGAACCTGGTTTGGAGATTGAGGACGATCTAACTGGTGCAGCCAAGTTACCATGCTGGGCCGAAGGGGCAGAAGGTCGCCTTGTTGGGGTTGATGCCCTTGATGTAGGCTTGCTTTGCGTTGGTATGGAGGGTCTGGATGATGGTGTTGTTGACCTGGTAGCAGGTATTGATGACCTTGAAGTAGGTGTTGATGACCTACTAGCAGGCGCAGATGCTCTGCCTGAAGGAGCTGAAGTCCTGCTAGCAGGGCCAACTGCCCTGCTTGAAGGGGTTGTTGACCTGGCTGAAGGAAGTGTTGATCTAGAAGTCGGTGTTGATGATCTTGGCGCAGAAGCTCCAGTTTTGGCAGGAACAGTTGTCCGGGAAGTGGGGGTCGAAGGTCTTGAACCTTTGGAACTAGCTGTCAATGCAGCGCGTCCAGTTGGTGTTGAAGGCCTTGATGAATTTGAAGTAAGCCCTCCAGACGATGATGGTCGGCGGGTTGTAGCAACTGAGTTCAAGCTGTTTGATGATGCTGTTCTTAATGGGAGGTTGGTTCTTGATGGAGGATCTGGATGATTGGACAACTGAAATAACATATTATGAGAAGATATAACAGAAAGTAATGAGAAGATTTACTTATACTTATGGAAAGTATAATGTAACACCACAAGTAGCTTACTGAAAGGATTTCTAGTAAGAAATCATAAATTACCAATGCAATAAGGATTCATCACCCGACCTTCCATGATAAGGACTAGTAAAAGGCCTTTTAGACAACAGAGGCCAGCATAAAAGCACACTTCACGTCAAATGCACAACAAAAAATAATAAATGTTATCTTTGCAGTTAATCTTATAGTAGGTTCAGCAGACAATGGATCATCTTTGGGGACCTTGCCTGTCATAGGAAACCTGATATGACTGATATCCATCCCTCTCTACAAAGTACAGTTTCATATCCACCATGAGGTGGAATTTCACTGACTTTATGTCTGCTGATTCAAAAGTTAGAAATATTTCTTATGACAGTTTTGTACAGTTGTACTCCCAAGAACCAAAGTACAGCTTATGTTCTGTTAGAACCAAAACACAGGATTGGGGCTGAATTTCAGAATTCATTAGCCATGCCACAACTATGGCAGGTTGGGGATACATATAGGATAGCTTGCTTGAGCCTTAAGAAAACTACAGCATATTCTAGAGATGCTAAAGTAAATGCTAGGGATAAAGATAAGGGCTGACACAGCCACCAACTACTCTAGATAATTATCCTGAGTAGATAAGGACAAGACTTATAGCTGTCATTCTCCCCCTAAGTCTTGTGTGGCGCCTTCTGGGGAATTTGAACCATCCCAATCCTGGCACGAAGCTCCTGGAACTTGACCCGCCCAAGGGACTTGGTGAGAAGGTCGGCGAGCTGATCCTGGGTGTTGATGTAGCCGGCCTTGATGCTCCCCTCATCCAAGCAGCTCCTAATGAAGTGGTACTTGATTCAGATATGCTTGCTGCGCTCATGGAAGATGGGGTTCTTCGCTAAGGCCAAGGCGGACTTGCTGTCCACCCTGAGCTCCACTGCTTCTGCGTCCCTGCCCAGGAGATCGCCTAGCAGCCGAGCCAACCAGAGAGCTTGAGTCGAAGCGGTTGTGGCAGCGATGTACTCCACCTCGCAACTGGACAGAGCCACCACTTGTTGCCTGACCGACTGCCAGCTGATTAGACACTTGTCGAGGAAGAATAGCATCCCGTTGGTGCTCTTGCTTGTGTCGATGTCACCGGCGAGGTCGCTGTCGCTGTACCCGATGAAGTGCTCCGCACCGGGACACCTCGGGTAGTGCAAGCCGTAGTCGGAAGTGCCCACGACGTAGCGGAGGATCCTCTTGACGGCCTGCTCGTGCTCCGTCGTCGGTCGCTGCATGAACCGACTAACGTAGCCAACGGCGAACGTCAGGTCCGATCGTGTGTGGACGAGGTAGCGAAGGCTGCCCACAATGCGCCGGTACCGCGTGGCGTCGACCTCCTTCGTCATGCTGTCGCGGCTTAGCTTCAGCCTCTCCTCCATGGGTGTGTGTGCTAGGTTGCAGCCGGTGAGCCCGCCCAACTCGACGATGCGCTTGGCGTAGACGGTATGGTGAAAGGAGATGCCTGAGCTGTCCTGGTGGACCTCGATCCAGAGGTAGAAGGAGAGAAGGCCCAAGTCGCTCATCTGGAAGGTCGCCTTCATCTCCTCCTTGAATGACTCCACCTCGGCCTCCTTGGTGCCGATGATCACCAAATCATCGACGTAGACGCCTACCAACAGGGCATTGCCTCCCTTGCCCCGCCGGTAGACTACAGCCTCGTGAGGACTTTGCTGGAACCCCATTTGCTTGAGAGTGGAGTCCAGCTTGGCGTTCCAAGCTCGGGGTGCCTGCCGCAAGCCGTAGAGGGCCTTGCGTAGGCGAAGAACCTTGTTCTCCTTGCCAGGGATGACGAATCCCGGCGGCTGGTGGACGTAGACCTACTCCTTCAGGTCACCGTTGAGGAAGGCGGACTTGACGTCCATGTGGTGCACACGCCAACCCTCCTGGGCCACCAGTGCGAGGAGACGGACGGACTCCATCCGCACAACGGGCGCGAAGGCGTCATCGAAGTCAACTCCCTCCTGCTGGACGAACCCGCGCGCCACCAGACGCGCCTTGTGCTTGATCACCACCTCGGCCTCATCTTTCTTGAGCTTGTAGACCCACTTAAGGGTGATGGCGCGGTGGCCGGTAGGAAGATCCGCCAGCTCCCACGTCCAGTTCCGCTCGACCGCGTCCATCTCCTGCTGCACCGCGGCGCACCATGCCGTGTCTCCCTCCGCCTCAGCGAAGGAGCGGGGCTCGCCGTCCTCGTGCGCTAGGTGCAGCTCCGCCTCGAAGTCGTGCACCGCCAGTCCAGGAACGGGCTGATCACCGAAGATGTTGTCCAAGGTGCGATAGCGCAGAGGCTCATCGTCGTGGTAGGCATCGACGCGATCCTCGTCGTCGGATAGCAGAGTGGTGAAATCCACCGTCGCCGTTGCTAAATCACGGACCAAAGGCTTTGCTGGTGCCGATCTCGGAGGTGTGGGCGCCGGCGCGAGGAGATTGGGGAGCCGGTGTAGGAGAAGCGGGCGAGGCCGGTGGTACAGTGGTGGAGGACTTCTTTGGTGGTGGTGGCGGTGGAGTACTCGCCGGAGCTGATGGCGAGCCGGGTGCTGAGGTAGACGAGCTCGATGAAGATGAGCTACTAGCTCCCCCGGCTCCCTCGAAGTGGACGTAGTCGACGACGAAGTCTCTGAGAGTCGAAGTCGAGCCGTCAAATCCTCGCTTTGTCCCAGTGCCCGGCCCTTCGCCTTCGTCGAACACGACGCCCGGGAGATGCGTGACGCAGCTTGTGTCGCAAGGTCGAGGATGCGGTAGGCCTTGGCGCGCCTCGCAGAAGCGGCGATGAAGACCCTGGCGTGTCTCGGTCGTCGAGCTTGCCGACGTGGTTGAGCTCCTTGGCGAATGTGAGACAGCCGAAGACGTAGAGGTGGCTCACCACCGGCTTACGCCCGTGCCAGGCCTCGTACGGCGTTTTGCCGTCAAGGGCCTTGGTCGGCAAGAGGTTGAGGAGATGGACGGCAGTCATCACCGCCCCCCCGAGATTGCGGCAGCATCCCCTCTCGCTTGAAGAGGGCGTGGGCGGTGGCCACCACCGTCTGGTTGCGGCGCTCAATGACGTCGTTCTGCTGCGGGGTGTACGGCGCGGAGAAGTGGCGCTGGATCCCCTCGTCGGCGCAGTACGCCGCGAACTCAGCCGCCGTGAATTCACCGCCGTTGTCGGTGCGTAGCACCCGAAGCTTGCGGCCGCACTCCTCCGCAGCAGCTTGGTGGCACTTGATGGCGTCCGCAGCCGCCGCCTTGGTGTCGAGCAGACCGCCCACATGTGAGGACGCCGTCGACGAGGAGCGAGGAAAAGCGCCGCCTCGGTGTGTGGCGGTGTCACGGGGCCAGAGGTCACCGTGCACGAGCTCCAGCTTCTCCTTGGCGCGGAAGCTTGCCTAGCGGGGAAAGGGGAGCCGCCGCTGCTTGGTGAGGACGCAGGTGTCACAGAACTGCTCCACGTGCTCGACTCGTGGCATGCCCTGCACCATCTCCTTGTTCTTTGAGCCGCCGTGGCCTCGAAGTTGAGGTGCCCAAAGCGCTCGTGCCACCGCCAGAGAGTCGTCGTGTGGGCGGTACGCAAGACACACGGGTTGCGCCACCTGCACGTGGAGGACGTAAAGGCGATTGGGGCCTCTATTCACCTTGACAAGAAGGCGACGATGGCGATCCCAGATACGAAAGACCCCGTGCTCGATCTCCACGCGCGAGCCGTTCTCATCCGGTATCCCGGTGATGATGGAGTTCCTCGGTAGCGGAATGTAGTAGACACCGGTGAGCGATCGGTGCTTTCGCCGGTCTTGGCGGTGAAGACGACGGAGCCGACGCCCTTGATCTCCACGGCGGAGGCGTCCCCAAACTTGACGGAGCCTCGAACGCCGGAGTCGAGCTCGGAGAAGAACTCCCGCCGTCCGGTCATGTGGTGGGTGGCGCCGGTGTTGAGGTACCACCCGTCGATCTTGTCGACGCCAGACCCGTTGCCGAGGAAGACGTGAGCCCACGGCTCGTCGAGGTGGAGGAGCGCGGCGGCGGCCGGCGCGGGAGAGGAGTGCGGCTCGATGCTCCCGTGTACGAAGAACAGAGCCAACTCGTCACCCTCCTGCGCTTGCGCGACGTGTGCCTGACCACCGTGCTTCGCCTGCCGGCAGTCCTTGGCCCAATGGCCGGACCTCCCGCAGTTGTTGCAGGTGTCGTCGCGGGTAGCCTTGCACTCGCCGTCGGCGCCGCCAGGAGCGCCACCACGCGCCTTGTCCCGCTTGCGCGGCCGACGCTTGCGGCTGCTCAACGAACCCGAAGCCGAAGAACCCGAGGCCTCCCCCTTCTTCCGCTCCCGCTGGCAGGCGAGCCACTGCTCCTCGGTGAAGAGAAGCTTGCCACCGATGGTGACCGGCTCTGAGGGAGGTAGTGCGCCGCGGTTGTCGTCGGCCTTGCCTTGGCGACCGTCACCTCCTCGATCGGCGGCTCGGAGAAGTCCGGCAACATCTCGATCGCGATGGCGACTGCGAGTACTTGGGGACGACGCGGAGGAACTTCTCGGCGACTCTCTGCTTTCGTCGATGTCGTTGTCGCCGTCTTGCGCCAAGCTTCCACGATCGTGGTGTTGAGGCGGAGAAGCGAAGTCGTCGACGTCCTCGCCCGGCTTGAAAGCCGAGTTCTCCCACTCGACACGGCTTCGAAGTGTGGACTGCTGTGGCGCGTCGGCTGCGCGCGTCTGCCATGGCGATGGCGCCCCAGAGTCCTTGGCGATGCACCGCTTGTTCGCGAGGAGGAGTGCATCTCCGTTGGAGCAGCAGCAAGAAGAAGCGCCTCTAGTGCCCGCCGATCCTCGTCGAAGTCGGCGCGTCGTCGTCGCCGCATCAAGATCCCACATGCGCCGCGCTGCATCTTCACCTTCATCACCATGGACCACTCGGCGTAGTTGGTCTTGGTGAGTGAGCATGGGACCATCCGGTATTTGGCGTCCTTGACGACGATACGCGCACGACAGAGGAGGGGCCGAGCCGGCCACAGCGACCACGGCGCCAGTCCGGGGAAGGGAAGGCGCGCCGCCTGTGAAGGCTCCGCGTGCAGCGTCCGTTGCCCAGTCCGCGCCGCACCGCCCGCTCCTCCCGCTCGGCCAAAGCGTTGCGGGCGCGTCGCCCGCTCGTCCCGGTCGAAGTCGCGGCGTCATCCGTCGAAGCGGCCCGCATCGCGTCCACGTCGGTTGTCGAAGCCGTCGCGATCGCCAGCCTCACGTCCACCGCGTCCGCCCGCGTCGAGCCAGGCCCGCTCGGCGTCCGCTCCTGCATCCGACGCGCCCACCCAGGCGTCGTAGTCCTCCTGCTGCCGACGCTGCGTCCGCCTCACGACAAAGCGCGATCATTGCTGGCTGCTGCTGCCCTCCGCGCCTCCGCTGCTTTGCTCGGTGGGTGGCTTGACCACACACGCCGCATGACAAGCTCACTTTCAAGCGATGCGAGCCGCCGCTCCACTGCAAGAATCGCACACACTGCCGCCGCCGCCTCGCCTCAGACTGGCTGCTGCTGCTGGCCGCAAAGACGTATCTTTGGAGGTGGTAGAACAGTTGGAGGAAGAGGATGAGTGGAGAGACATGGCGACGGATTGGGATGGGGTAAGGGTAGAACCCAGATGAACTTAGGCTCTAGATACCATTTGTTAGAACCAAAACACAGGTTTGGGGCTGAATTTCAGATTTCATTAGCCATGCCACAACTATGGCAGGTTAGGGATACATATAGGATAGCTTGCTTGAGCCTTAAGAAAGCTTGCTTGAGCCTTAAGAAAACTACAGCATATTCTAGAGATGCTAAAGTAGATGCTAGGGATAAAGATAAGGGTTGATACAGCCACCAACTACTCTAGATAATTATCCTAAGTAGATAAGGACAAGACTTATAGCTGTCATGTTCAAATGACTCACCCTAGATTTTAAGGCAGTTGGACGAGCCTTTGGCATTCCAGCTTGGCTCACCGGAGACCTTTTCGACTCAACTTCTAGAGATGGGAATAGTGGAGTTCCTGGTGGTGTCAGAAGCCTGAAAGTAAACTTCATTGTGAGAACAGTTACATAATAACTTCAAAACTGTAGTCCAGAAGTGACCTCCAATGAAATCTATGATGCAGCAGAATGGACTTAAATGCTAAATTTAGATAATACAAGCAACAGAAGTGACAAAATATGTAGGATACCACCTAAGTCTGAAACGACATCAGATATCTATCTCATACAGAGTTTCTGATATTGTGCACTCTGGATGGATAACACACAAACCCACTAAATCAGTTGCTTTGAATCACTTCCCTACCCACTTAGATTAACTTAACTAAATCAAGTAGCTAACCCAGCACTTCTACAGAGCACGCAAGACCCAAAAAAGAAAAAATGTCATGTGAGCTTAGTTACATAGTCCACCTGCTCTCTACCAACCACACATCAACAAGCAATCGAATAGCCAAGATCTTGACAAAATAAAATTGTCTTCATGTGTTAACATGGCCACCTATAATCTGATTACTTACGAATCCTATACCAACTAGGAAAAAATCCCAAACTAATAAAAAAAGGTAATATGTGTCATTATCACTAATCATATAAATTTCTCAGACCTGCTACCAAACAAATACAGTTCAAATCAACCAGGACCAAGATTGGTAGCCTGTAGGTCATAGGAATTAAGGCATCCGATGTCAAAATGTGTCCAATACAGAACTATTGCGTCTACCGAAAAAGCACCAGATTCACAAGAAACATGGCAAGCTAGAAAGACATTGGCTAGCTAACCAACCAGAAAGCAAAGAGAAGGAACTCAACTGATTGATAACTCCAGAAATAGATAGCACAACTTTATGATCGTGCATTAACTAGACAAGCAATCAAAAAAAAGGAACAGAAACCAGGGATGACAAGAGATCTAGCTGCTACCTCCAACAACCACCATGACCCATCCTTCCCAGCAACACCAACTGAATTCTAGCTAACATCATAAGTTTCACAAAAGACAAACTTTATGGTACGCGGTCAACAACTTAACAGACAAATGCATGGACAGCAGATTAGACTGAATGCACAGAAGGCAAAATACAGAAAAATGGAACTCAGCGCTTCGCTTCTAGCAAGGCAACTGAAGAATGAAGATTTAGCTTGAAACTTATGAAGCCCTAGAGTTGTCAGTTTTGACAGTCCTGCAGCTTTGCATTCAGCATCGGAAACCAGAAATCAAGATTTAGGGAGCCCGCACTAAATATTACACGGTTAAAACCTCACCAAACTCCCTGAAGCCCTAAACGACAATAGAACAGAGCAGAATTGAAGTTTACAATGCTACAATGTGAATTGGCTAGAATCATTGTCACACCAATGGCTATGTTGCCCACAACCGAAATAGCAGAAACTTGGTAGCTAATTAGCGGGAATTTGGTAGCTAATGCCAGTAAAAGCTCGGAACTGAAGCACCCACCAGTCGTAATCGTTCTTGTCGCCGGCGTCTGCATTGAGGAAGTCGTCTGCTCCGCCAGGCGCCCTCCTAAATCCGCCGCCAGCCACCTTGTACGCTGCCGGTTTGGGCTCTACGACCACAAAACCAAAAATCCAAACCAAGACAAGATAAGCTAGGGTTTCCCTGAGCACAGGAGCAAAATGCAAAGGAACGGCCGGAGGAGGCCCGGAGAATAGCCCGAAATGAAGCTCTCACCGGCGGGTGGTGGCGGCGGGTCGAGGAGCAGCATACCGTCCCCCGCCGCGACGTCCCCGGAGAGCAGGAGCTGGTCTGCCGCCGCGGCCGCCGCGGCCGCAGCGCCGCGCTCCTTCTCGCGTCGGCGCATCTCGAGGAAGAGCGCAAGCTCCTCATCCTTCTCCTTGATGACGGCGCCGAGCGTGCGCCCCCTGGCCTCGCCGTCCGCCATGCCCACCACCCGGCGCTGCATCGGCGTCACTCCCCCGGCGCGGCCTCCAGCGGCATTAGGGTTCCGGCGGGCGAGATCTGTGGCGCGGGCGAGGGGAGTGAGCGAGCGAGGGGGGGCTGCAGTGGGAGTGAAGCCAACGGAAGCTGGGGAGGGTGGTGGTGGATGGGAATGGCGCCCGTCGGTGTCCCTGTCTCGTGGTGGCGAGTGGTGACCTGGTGTTGGTGTCTCTCTCTCTCGCGCGCGCGCGTGGTGCGAGACTGCTATGATGCTCTTGTTGGCCTTGCTTTCAGCTCAGGATTGGCGATGGCGATGGAGATTGGAGGAGGGTGGATGGATGGAGCTGTGAAGGGGAAGGAAGGGAAGGCAAGGGAGATTGCGGTTTGAAATTGAATTGGGTGGAGTTTTGAAGCTGCGAATTGGGGGAGGACGACTGCTGTCTGTCTCTGTGTCCGTGCTAGCTTTTTTTATTATGTGAGCTGAGGCAGAGTTAATAAATGGTTTGGCATATATGCTTAAATGCTACTGCCACAGCGGTAGTGAACACGGACGAGCTTTTCTGATACGAAAAGTCGTTTATGGCTTATTTGGATGACGTGGTTTTAGAAAGAAAACTATGGCATTACGAAGCTGTGCTTTTATAATCTCGATCGAGACATACAAAACTATGGTCTACAAAAGAAAGTTATGAGTGGAGATTCGAAAACTCCGAAAATATATTAATTTTGATAAAAAAAAATATGGTTTTAGAAAACTACTACAAGGCTTGTTGTATCTCGGGGGTGCTTGAGACGGCTCTGCTCCACGTTTTTCTAGCTCGGTTCTATGTTTTTTTAGCCAAACGGTTTCAGCTCCACGCACTCTGTTCGATAAAAAAGGATGGAGTTATGAGAGCACCTAGAGAGGCGCTCCGAACTCCAGTTTTTTATGAAGCCGCTCCACCGTGGAGTTTGTGGAGCAGAGTTTGTGAAGTAATCCCAAACAACCCCTAAATACTCATGCTTTTGTAAATCAAAGTACTTTACAAAATCATACAGCCTGTTCGGTTGGCTGGTTCGTATCGTTGCTGGTTCGTGAAGAAGTACTGCTGGCTGGTTTGTGTGAGAGAAAAATATTATTACAGCTGAAAATTTACTATCGTTTACGACAAGCCACAGCCAAACGAACAAGCTGATAGTATCCATTTGTACTCTAAAAATAGTTTTTTTTTCAAAATGTCCTTAACTAGTATTTCTTTCCCCTAAGAAGTAAGAACCTCGGAGGTGTCCCTTTGAGATGGCGTTCTCTTACCCACCAGAATGAACATGAAAAACTCACGGCCACAAATCAATAGATGGAAATAGGGTTAAAAACCCAAAGGCAATAGAACAAATGAATAACTAAAAACAGCATGTTGCAATTCATCGACGACCCGCAAATGACAGAGCTTGACACACATCATTGTTGTCAACTTGTTGAAATAGTGACGACATTGCATCTTTGACTTCCCTTTGCCTTTGCCACAACATTGACACACTCATTGTTGTTGTGTATATATGATTTATCTATAATAAATAAGATTTTGGGAGGTTGTAAGTGTTGTTTTAGTGCTTTAGCATAACTTTTTATGTTAATAAGATGGGATTCATCACTAATGAGCGATGGTAAAAAAAACTCCAGTAAAATAACATGATTATTGATTAGCACCCCATGTAGCAAGATATTACGTTCTTGGTTCTTGCTGCTTAAATCAAAGCCAAGATGCGGTGTCGATAGATCTATACCTCCGGAGTCCAATGACAGAGAGACTAGGGGCACGTTTAGATGGAGGCCAGCATCACCCTAGCCAATATTTGATCATTGATTGTGAACATGAGCATTATTTGGATAGTTACCAAAATTTGGCAATAAGCAACCAAAATTAGTTTATCTTCTATTCCATGCGCGGCCAATTTCTTGGCATGAGTTTGGCCACCCAAAACTCATTTGGCATGGACATAAACCAAATGTGCCCTAGTTGCACACCAGCACTAGCCACTAGGTCACCGTTGTATTGGCTACGTTCGCTTCTCTTATAATCCGTCTTTTTCAACTTGTTTTTTCAACCGGAACAGTGTTTTTCTCTTACAACAAATTAGCCAGAATTGTGTTTTGGCTTGTTTTTTCAGCGAAGCAAACAAGGCCATTATGCTCTAACCCATCCCATACTAGCGTGATTGGTTACATAGCCTAGCATGGTCTAGATGTGGATTAGAATCAGGCTAAGCATGGTCAGCCCATGCGCATGCAAGCAAGCTCGTTTGGTTTAATTGCTTCACTCGGACTAGGCTAGATTTGGCACTTGATTAGTTGCTTGGTTATGGGCTGGATTTAACTACCAATTGCCTTTCCTATGCACACAAGCTGCTCGCGCAAGCGAGTCCCGTAGGAAATGGATTTCAATTTCATTTTCCAGGAGCCAGGTCAACGAACACCTCATGCATCCCCAACCAATAAAACATCCCAAACTTATATCACGTAAGCCAAGTTGTGCATGATTCATCCAATAAATCGCATCCTACATCTATGTGAGTTAGAGCATGTGAACCAAGCTGATAACAAGAGTAGTGACACATGAGCAAATGAGTAGACACATGAATGGGTTGACGAACATTAAGGCGAGTGGCAAGCGATACTAGTGATGAGCGGAGAGGTAGGGCATGTTTGGTTCTCTCGATGGCTTTCGCTCGCTTCGCCTATCACCAGCATTGAGCTTGTTCGGCTGGCTGGGGCTGGCCAGGCCACTCAGCGGGGCACTGTTCACGTCATGCCAGGACAGTATTTTCCTCTCACAACAATCAGCCGGAACAGTATTTTTCAGTTCTACCGAACAGGCCCATTGGTGGGCCAATCTCGTTCTCCAATACAATAGAGAGGAGAAATCCTTGTCAACACAAATCCCAAGGCAAAGCTACTAGAGAACCAAACACTTATCTTGATTTTTAGCCAAGCAAAATAAGGTGAGGTCTTGCCTGAGAACCAATGGCATGTTCGCTTGCTCGTAAACGATTGTAAATTTCCAGCCGGGAACAGTGTTTTTCTCTCACACCAAACCAGCCAGCAGTAAATAATCCACGATACGATACGGCCTCCCGAACAGGCTGCAAACACGCCCGCTTCAACCAACACAACTACCTAACATGCTGCTAGGGCGAATAGGAAGAGAAGCAAAACGAGAGGAGGAATCTATGGCAACCGAGATGCGAACATTTTGTCCTTAGCTTCACCATCTCCATTACCTATTTGAATTCCCTCTCTTATTACTAACACCCAACACATAGGAACACTAAACTGCCCTAAGCTAATTTGTTTTTACTCCTTCCACGAGAGAGCGTCGCATTGATAAATGCTAGATCAGGGGAAATACAATGAGCAAAGAAGTTGCTGAGTTTCGTAAAACTCTTCAATTATTTGCATGGAGAATGAAGTTGGTCCTTTTATACTTTGACTCGGTATTTTTCACATGTGATGTGTCGTGTGCATCGTGTGTTCTATCTATCATTGCGTTAGAATATGCATCGTTTATTAGACAATTAAAAAAATATGCAATTAACTATGGTTTGTTACAACTGCTAAACTTCTGTGGACAAAGGCGATAACACCTTGATGATCTTGCTCGGATGAACAACTAAGGGAAGTCCCACCTAGAAACTATGAGATGGTTTTCATATTCATCAAGTCATATAGACACTACATAAAAAAAATATTCTTAATGGATAGTTTCTATTCTATACAAAAAAACTATGTTTACACGAGATCAAGATATGATATGTGGACGATAGGAGAGAGAAGATAAGTAATTGAGCAAAAATCTATTTTTTTTAAAATACATCCATTAAACATATGATTTATTTGTGTAGTGTATATGACTTGATGAATATGGAAACCATCTTTTTGAGTTGAGATTGCCCTAATAGTCCCATGTGTGTGTCAAATCAATCAAGTACTTGATCCATATACTTGATTGACTATAAATGATGTAGTATGATATGTGATCTTTCGGCCAATGAATGCAAGTGCACGTATATTTACCCTATATAAGTATAAGGTCGGGTTTAGTAGGCGAATTTTATTAGGAAATGGTACTGTAGCACTTTCGTTATTATTTGACAATTAATGTCAATCATAGTCTAATTAGGCTTAAAAGATTCATCTCGAATTTTGTCTAAACTGTATAATTAACTTTATTTTTTATTTATATTTAATGCTTCGTGCATGCGTTAAAAAATTCGATGTGACGTGAGAACTAAACAGGCACTAAGCATCTTCAAATCAAAATATTGAACGGCAAATTTCAAGATTAACGGCTCCTTTGGATAGGAGGAGAAATGCATGAAAAACGTAGGATTGGGGATCCTAAGGATTTAGGTACTGTTCACCCCTTTGGATCGCAGGAAACGACCACAGGAAAAAAAAAAGGAGGAAATCTTCCTATGCTAGCTATTCCAGAGGAAAAACGGAGGAAATCTAACATCCACGCCGACCTCTTTTTTCTATTCCTTTGCGCCGGATCCAGGATAATCACGTCGGTCGAGCAAGTTCATCGCAGTAAACACGACACATAGGAAGACCAAGAAAACTGCAGAGAGAGAGAGAGAGAGAGAGAGAGAGAACTTGACACGTCGGCCCGGCCGCCCGCCGCCGCTGCAGCTCGTTGTGGCCTGCCCGCCGGCCCGTTCGCCAGGCATGCGGGAGCTCGAGCCTGTCTTCGCCTGCTCGCGAGCCGTGCGGGAGCTCGAGCTCGTCGTCGCCCGCTCGCCAGCTGTGTGGGAGCTCGAGCACCTCATCACCCAGGCTGCCGCCCCGTGTGCGCTCGAGCTCGCAGCCTCATGCCGCGTCCGTCAGCTTGCGGCACCACGACTGTGTTTGTCGCTCGAGCTTGCAGCATCGCCCTCGCTCCGCGTCCTGCTGCTACTTGCCATTGATGCTGAGAGAAGGAGCTTCAGTGAAATGAGTGGATGAGCTGGGAGAAGGAGCTCCAGTAA